AAGAATAAAATAGAAAAAAATAGAAATTCGGCCAAATTTTTAATTATTCGGAGATATCTGAATGATAATATTACCAAATATAAAAGAACCAGAAATAACAAAAAATTTTGTCCGAAAGAATAAAATAAAACAAAATAGAAATAAAAGAATAAAATAGAAAAGAATAGAGTAAAACAGAACAGAATAGAAAATAAAAGAATAGACTAAAATAAAATAGAAAATAAAGGAATAGAACAGAATAGATTAGAATAGAAACGAATACAAAATAAAATAATAAAATAGAGAACAGAAAATAGACCATAAAATAGAATAAAAAAATAAAGAATGTAACCATCTTATGAAATGTGAATTTTGAGCAGAATAAATTTGAATAGAATAGAAAATAAAAGAACAGAAAATAGTAGATTAGAAAAAATATAACAGTCTTCCTAAATTCGAATAGAATAGATTCAAATTTGTATAGAATAGATTAGAATAGAAAAGAATAAAATAGAAAAAAAAAAAATAGAAAAGAATAAAATAGAAAAGAATATAACGGTCTTCTGAAATTCAAAATAAATAAATAAATAAGAACAATAGAATAGAATAAAGTAGGAACAATATGACCATCTTCTGAAATTCGAATAGAAAAGCATAGAAAATAAAACTAGAATAGAATAAAATAGAAAAAACAATAGAATAGAAAAAAATCCAATAGAACAGAATAAAATAAAAAGAATATAACAGCATTTGGAAATTCAGATAGAATTTGAATATACAAGAATAGAACAGTAGAGAAAATAGAATAGAATAGTATAAAATAAAAGAATACGGAATAGAATAAATTCAAATTTAAATGCCGATTCAAGTTTTCCGAATTCAGTCAAATTGAATTCAATTCAACCAAATTTGGAAAAATCGAATCAAATTCGAAATGAATAAACAAAAAAAAACTAAACAAATTTAAATTCAGAAAACAAATTTAACTAAATGAAATTATTTATAGAAAGAATCGAAACTAAACAATGTTTTTTGTTCTGCACATGTCTAGATGATACTGTAATTATTTTAATTAAGAAAACATCTTTTTTTTCCTAATCAATATACAGCTGTATATTATTATGCATATTAAACTCTTTCCTCAATATTCCTGTTTTCAGAGTATTTTGTCTCGACAGTCATTAACCACTTGCCATAAAAATGCTAAGAACAGTTGCTAGACGTTAGAGCCAAAAAATCCATTTTTGCCCACCCCCTTCTACCTAACCCATCCTTTCCAGAGTAAAGTTTTCATTACCTGGTGGAGTCAGTTAAACTCACCTGAGTAGCTCCACAAAATGGTCCCTCGCTGACACGGTTTCCTCCTGCAGGGAATGCTAATCCAGCATTGCTTGTCAGCTGCTTCTCTTCCCTCCCATGGGTCTGACTTTCTAACAGGACCCCTCCTTTGGCCGGCCAAATGGCAATTGTCCACATCACACAGGCAGTGATATAGACACCCAGAAGAAAGACTCATCCAGAAAGCAAACAGTGAAGATAAGGACACAAAGCTGGATGATCATGTGACCATCCATTCAGGTAAGTGAAAATGAAGTTTAGGGAGTTATTAGTCAACCCATAAATCCGTTAAATAAGGGGTGGGGTTGCATTCATCCTGGAGCTGAGCTTTAAAGCCCGACTCTAAACCAATTTTTTCCCCTGTTCTGAGCAGAGAGGCAAAGGGATAGAACCTAAGTTGGGTCAATATATGTTAGGAAAAGGAGTGAAAGGGCATTCTGTCTGGTTAGGGCAAATACTGCAACAAAATACTTTTTTTTTTCCCCCTTCTAGAAAATACAATAGCATTAGATCTAGAATTAGAACTAGAGATGCTTACGACTTTCAGTGTGGATGAACATGACAGCTTCCTGCAGTCAGTGTTCCCTACGAAAGCAACGGGTATCCGCTACTTCTTCAGCGACTACTGACGTCACACCGCCCTATTTGATTAAATGGCTGAGAATCTGGGGGGGTGTTCATTCAAATTTCTTTCCTGTTTTTTGCGGGGTTCCCAATAAAATCCATGCCAGATCCGAGGAGAACCACACTTTTGTCATTCTTGCTGTAGGATATACTACACCAAAAGTGATATTTTGAGGTTTACATTGTTGGTCAATGACATTTCAATGCCATCTTTTTTGTTTGTTAAAAACAGCATTTTTACAAAACAAGTTGTCAGGGAATTGTCATTTACCTACATTTTTATGCGTTAGAAATGTCATTGTTTCTTTAGCTCCCCCCCCCATGGGCAGGTTATTTAAGGGAATTGAGCATTGTTATTGCTTCACTTTAAACATTAAAAACAAAAATAAAAATTGCTGTCCCAGACACATGAATTTTTAAAAATAATTTTTGCAAAGTGCATGTGTCCCAGGTCAGTGCCCAACCCCCCATGCCATTTGTTTGACAACCCAGCTTAATAGCCAACAAAATGGCTAATATTGATTTTACAGATTTAAATGCTTGTCGCACCCCTCATGAACCAAACCCAGATATTTCTACTCAAAGTTCAAACCTTTGTCAGGGTATTATTAATATATAAGCCTTTGTGTGCCAGTGACAACTGCTTCTATCATTTATCCTGTTTTCAGAGGAACTGGAAGTGAGGCGAAGCCACCTCTTGGGACCATGGTCAAGAAATAAATCTTAACAGAACCTTTCACTCTCTGCAAGCGTATCCAAAATTTAAAAAAAATCTTGGCTGGAATCAGGTTTTAAGCAGTCTGTGGGTACATAGTTTTTGGAAGTTCTTTATGGCTCTGTTTTTTAAATAACTTACAGAATCTCTGTATTAAGGCTAGGCTCACATATGTGGGTACAGCAGTGCATGTAAAAACTAACACGTTCTAGCACCCATATGCAGCCACACAAAAAAAACATGGTGCTTTATTAAAAGGTGTGGGGATGCCATTAACACTTAATGGTACCCCCACGTGCTGAAAAACGCAGTGTGGCTTTCAACATGCAGAAACACCAAAGCACCATGCTGTTTCCATGCGCCTGCTTTTTAACCTCCTTAGCGGTATGATTATTTCAGATTTTTGGTGCTGAAAGCCATACCATTATTTTGCATGGAAATTTGGCGTTTTATATTGTAGGCCTGTAATTCTTAGGAATAACTCACTGAAATCTGTCCGAACAAGAGTCTAGTAAACATCCCGGGTAGGATAAAACTTGAAACACGAAATCATAAAATATAATTTAATAAATCATAAAAAATAATAGAATAATAATTTTAATTCAATAATGTAATCAAACCAAAAACACTGAAATTTGAAATATAGCGCCAAATTCGCACATCACTGAGCAAAGTCGCAAAATCGTTTTCAGTGTCTGATGACGAATTTCCCCACGAATCATTATCACTCAATTCTGCAAGTGGTTCTGATTTACTATCGCTGTTCTCTAGCCGGTCTAAAACCGATTTTGACCTAAAGGGACGCTTTTTGGACGCCATGGACGTTTCTCAGTTTCCAGGCAATAAGAACAGTAAAAATGCAGGCAGGGCGCCGGACAAAGCACTCGGGACAAAATGTATGTGAAATGGTTTGATACAGGAATGTTATACTATGTGATTTTAGTGAATGTCACTTTTTGTCATTTTCGAATTTCCCGCCGTTCCGACGCTCTCAGGGGACGGAACCCAGAAGACAGATGCCGGCATCCGCCGGATTACATTGCCAGGGAAACACTGCAGGAGGGACACTACGGGAGCGCAGGACAAGGTAAGTGCAAGAGGGATCCCGGAGCAGCGCCGCATAGTATTCCTGAGTGTAGCTCGGGGTTACCGCTTCTGGTACTGAAACTTTACCCCGAGCTACACTCGGAAAGCCGCCAGGGAGGTTAAAAAAGGTGCACAGAAAGGCGCAGGAAATACAGGCACAGCAGCCCATTCTAATGAATAGACTGCGGTGCCTGCGCAAGCACAGCATGCAGAACTGCCTAAATGTGAACCTAGCCTTATACAAGTTATTTATAAGTGTTTGTCAGTATGAAACTCTGTCACCAGCCACGTTAAATAGACTAATGGCTCGATGTAGATTATAAAAAAGCAGCACACAGTATGACAACTATATCTGCATAGTGGCCCTCTCCTACTAGATCTGCAAGATACATCTACAAGAAGCAGCAGACCCCCTGCAACATCACAAGCTGGGGACTTCACCCTATCACATGCTGTGACTATTGCACGTGCATTGGGTTGAGCAGCACAGCCAATAACACAGCAATTGTATGTCTCTTTGGCTGACTGTGGCTTCCTGACTCTGTGGAAGTCACAGCACAATTCTACAGGCAGATTGCTTGAATGCAATCATGTAAGGCAAAAAACCCCTATCAACATGACATAGACCTTCCATGTGGATAGTGATTCAACAGGAACTAAAATAAGGTAAACTTGGTAAATACATACAATTTAGTTTAGTGTCTGCATTGCATCTACATTTCCCAGAACATGCTATATCAGCAATGGGCAAACTACGGCCCGGCGGACCTTTTAATCCGGCCCGCGGAGCGTGATACTGTCAGGATGGCTGTCAGGATGTGTGTAGGCGGGGCAGCGTGACGAACGTGAGGGGAGCTAGGCTCCTCTCACAGTCCGCCCTGAAGACCGGAACGGCGCGGGAACACGGCGAGAGGAACGCGCGGAGCAAAGGTAAGTAAATTGACACGGGGGACTTGGCTTACTACTTGGGGGGGAATAGTACTATGGGGGATGAAATAATATGGGGGATGAATTAATATGGGGAATGAATTACTATAGGGGGGATGAATTACTATATGGGGGATGGGGATGAATTACTATATGGGGGATGAATTACTATATGGGGGATGAATTACTATATCTACTCTTGGTCCGGCCCCCGGGTCCAATATATGAACCCATTGCGGCCCTCAAGTCAAAAAGTTTGCCCACCCCTGTGCTATATAATATGTTACCATCTGTCCACATATCTGACCACCAAAAAGGCTTGCATTTTTACCTAATAACCTCCTTGCTTGGCTTTTTAGATTTCTTTGCCATCTCAACTGGAGCTGGGATTGGAACCTCTGGAGCAGGATCTTCCACTGTAGTGTCCTCATCCCCCAATATAGCAGCCTGCTGAGAAAAATCCATGTCCTGCATAAACGACATACTGCGCTTCAAAGCTAAAAGCCGTTCCTAGAATCAAAAAGGACAGAGCAGCAGGAACTTTATATGTACTTTCATAGCAAAAGGTGCTATGATGAATGGATGGGATGGGAACAATATTACCTCAGTCTTACAATGCTAGATTTTAATGCTTATGCAGCAGGGCTGGGTAATTCTTTCCAAAAATAGCCATGCAAAAACAGAAATAAAATTATGAAAATCAGAAAGTAAAGAAAATAAACTGCACAAAAAATATTAACATTGACGTCAATATATACAGTATATGAAAGATGTTGCTATTTTAAAATTAACTTTGATTGCAACTGTATACACTATAACATACAGTATGTATACATATACTTCGCAAAAAATTTGCCTATATGTGTGTAACGTTTAGCAACTCATAAAATAACTCACTCAATAACAAAGCATTGAATAAAATTATATTAGTCCCCACTGCTAAAAATGTTCAATATTCTTACAACCAAAGTGTATGGCAGATGAAAACACAAAAATGGAGGCATGCACTAGTATTTGAATTTCGATCATACTTTACTCATCATCTTGAAGCCTGTATGAAGTAGCTTCTTGGCCAACTTGTAGTATACAGTCTCTGGTCGGTTGTATGTCATTGCATTATCACACATAAGTTTGAAATCTGCCTGTAGAATAAACAAATTTGGATGATTTACTAAGAATATCATACTTCCCTAACAACATTCTTAAAGTGAGGTAATGGTTGCACAAAATCAACCAGATGTAAAGAAAGTAGAAAGAATTGTGAAATCACCAAATCAGTTACTAATACTTCAGTTATTCAGTTGAATGCAAAATAATACACATTTGCTCTGAGTAATAAACTCATTGCTATAGATAAATCAACATGTAATAATAATTTGTACAGAAAAATCTTGCCGTTTTTTAACAATATATCCATCAGTGAAGATCACCATTCAGAAAACATTTTGACACCTTGAAACTTATTTTATTTACTTGCAATTGGCATTTTTCTATTTTAGATTGCAGCTGCAGCCTGCGAACCTGGAAGGAAGACTGGGTGAAGATGGAAGCCCCATTGAGCCATGACAGTGGTCCGCTGGAGGGCTTCGTTTTCAGGAAAGTCTTTCATAATGAGCTAGTATGCGATGTACATGTGATCCACTTTAAACATATGTATTGTAATGGAAGGAATTTCTTTTATTTTTATTATTATTTATTACAGGTACTTGATAGCGCCGTCAATTTACATATATATTGTGCATTCACATCCAGTCCCTAACCCTCAAGGGGCGTACAATCTAAGGTACCTAACTTACATTCATACATACTAGGGCCAATTTACACGGGATCCAATTAACCTACCAACATGTCTTTGGAGTGTGGGAGGAAACTGGAATACCCGGAGGAAACCCACGCAAGCACAGGGAGAACATGCAAACTCCAGGCAGGTGGTGCCGTGGCTGGGATTCAAACCAACGACCCTAGTACTGCCAGGCTGAAGTGGTAACCATTTAGCCACCGTGCTGCCCCATTTTTTCTAAATAAATTCTTTTTTATTGAGTTTTGTAAATTAGAAGACACAAGGAACTGATGCAACTCCCAAGACACAGAAATCTCTGAGGTGTGTCCAGAAATTAAATGAGAATGATATTTAAAAAAATTTCATTGAAAAATATTACAACTGAACATTGTCTCCTTCAAAGTTTGCACCTTGAGTGTACACCATGCTCTCAGCGATTCTTTCATTCTTCATAGCATCCCTAGAAGTCTTCAAGAGGGATGGCGTTCAGAGCCTGCATAGTGGCTCTTTGGACGTTATCCACACTACCAAAATGGTGTCTGTTCAAACCCTTGTTCATCTTTAGGAATATGAAAAAGTATCAAGGAGCCAAGTCAGGGCTGCAGGGCGAATGGGGAAGCACCGTGATGTGATTTGATTTTTGGCCAAAAACTTTCTGAGAGCCAAAGCACTGTAACTTGGAGCGTTGGCATGATGAAGGATCCAAGTTGAGCCGAACTCAGGAAACACACGAAAAACTCTGCCTCAATCGACCAAGAACTTCCAGGTAAAATCTTTAATTCACAGATTGACCAGTAGGTACAAATTCCTTATGGACAGTTCCACGTGAATAAAAAAAAAAAAGCAAAAAACAAAACAATTACAATTACCATTGATTTGACTTTTGATTTGCTTATTTGAGCTTTCTTGGGGCGAGGTGACGTGGGTGGTGTGCCATTCTGAACTTTGTTTCTTCGTCTCGGAATTGTACTCAAACACCCAGGATTCATCACCCGTGGTCACTTTGCTCAAAAAAAAAAAAAAATAAATAAAATCAGGCTCTCTTTCCAAATGGGCCAACAGGTCTTGGCAAATGAGCTGACAGTGATCCTTCTGATCAGGTGACAAGTTCTTTGGAACAAATTTTGCACACACTTTTTCCTGAGTCATGATTTCATGAACAATTGGCATAGTAATTCCAGTTTCCTCTGCAATCATTCTGATCGTGAGCCGTCGGTCACAGTTGAGAAGAGACCTCACTGCATCCACATTCTGTTCCGTTTTTGATGAAGAGGGGCATCCTGATCATTGTTCATGTTCAACACCTTCTCCTCCTTCCTTGAAGGCTTTGTGCCATCAGTACACTTGTGCAGATGATAGCTCAGCTTCTCCATAAGCTTTCCTCACCATTTCCAAAGTATCTGATGCACTTTTACTCAGTTTCACAAAAACATTTTATCATGCACCGCTGTTCCAAACTTGCTTGCATTTTTCTTAGTATGAGGCACTTGAACAGGGTGTCACAAAAAAGAAATGTCTCAACAGGGCTGGAATGCAATTGGTATACATTTTAAAGTATACCTGGCACCCCACCCCAAGTGACCTTGGCCGGCTTCTCCCTTTGCAGAGCCATTCTCCAGCGTAGAAACGTCATTCTCATTATATTCTGGACACATCTCGTACAATAGACAGACTAACAAACTAGCTGTGCTCCACTTCCTCTCGCACCACCCTCAACAAAGTCCCTCACTTTGGGAGATTTCCTCTAACTTCCTGCTGCGTCTCTGGGACAGGAAGTGAAGAGACAGCAAAAACAAACCAAAAAAAAAAAAAAAACTTGGCAGTGGTTTAAACTCCTTCCTAGTCTATCCAAAACTAAGAAAAAAGTTTTGAATATAGATACCCTTTAGGATCAATTACCTAAAGATAATTTGCATTTTAATATAATCAAACTGAAATAGATCACAGAAAAATTGACAGGTTAGAACATCTAACATGTGACATACCTTAAACTCTGTGATGGATTTGTACTCATTTCCAGAAATTTTTTCCTTCATAGTACTAAAATCCATGGGATGCTTTATTATCATAAAATAACCTGGAGCAATCTGATCTGTCACTGGAAAGGCAAAAAATCCATGGGGGTCTTTACTGTAAGGATAGATAAACAAACAACAAGTATTATTAAAATTGTAATATTTTTGTAAAAATCTGCTTTTGTGTTGCCCCTCCGATCTTCCTTGCATTTTTCTTCTAGTACTACACTATTGTCCATGGCTCTTTCTTCCTGTATTCTTTCTCTTGCTTGCCTTATCTACCTTTTACTGTCCCTTTAGTGGTGCCCTGCTCTGCCACCATACATCCATTTGTGAATTTTTACCACTTTCTCCAACAACATTCTTACAGCCTTTTCTTTTCGAGTTTTCCACTCTGCTCCTGGGCAACCTTTTCTTTTCAAAAGCAGACCCAGAATACCATATCAGAGCTACAGTCTTGAGCAGAAGTGAAATGTTACCTAAGATACCATTTCAGCTGGTTGCGTGCGCATGTACACCAGCATATGCTGGGGTTTCTGATCTAGAGTTGCTTCTGCTAAATTACATACAGTCAACATTTACATTGCTGAAATGTCCAGAAGAGAGAAGTGTGACTCAAAAGCGCTGCGTAACTGTCTTTTTTTTTTTTTCTAAATTCAGCTGTTTAACTCCCATGGGACTCTTTAAGGACTCGTTTAAACTAGATGCAGTGGGGTGCAATTTTAAATGCAGCATAAGCGCAGTAGAAATGCATAGGCAAGGAAAATTAATGTATTCCAATGAGCCTAGTTTACACCATTTGAGTGCTTTCGTGTGTGTTTAAAAAAGTATAGTATGCTGCATTTATCTGCACCAGAATGCACATAATGCGCACAAATGCACTGAAATCACTCATGAACGAGTGCAAATGCAAATTACTAAAAAAAAAAAAATTGGAAAACACACAAAATTATTCTGAAAAACACACACAAAAAACGTACTGCAAATGCATGTAAATGCAATGAAAACACACTGAAAACGCGCACAAATGTGGATGCAGAAAAGCTCATAAACCTAGAAACTGTCGTGTGAACGAGCCCAAAACTCATCTTCATCTTACCGTTGCAGTTGGCGGAGGAAGTATTCCAGAAGTTGTTGTATTGGTGTGCTCTCATTTTCTGCTGCAAAAACCAAACAAAAATTAACTAAATTCCACACGTTATAAAAGAAAACCAATATAATGCCAAGTTAATGGTTTCACCTGGATGTGTTCTACAAGCTCTAACAGGACGGTCTGTTGCAGTTTCAACCTCCACTTTTTTCGTTGGCTCAAAATACTCTGTTTCACCATCAGAGTCACACTGCTCCTTTTCTCGTTTTCTCTTTTTCTCTTCCTATAAACAATAAATACTATTCTCAGATTAAATTAGATAACAAGCCAAACTTTACAAAGTCAACTTAGGGAAATTGTATATTAATACCTTACAAAATTTTTGACCACTCGAAAAAAAAATTTTTTTTTTTTTTCGGAAGTCATCTAGTAAGGGCTTGTTTACAATTGATGTTTTTATTGTTCAATCAAATCACCATAATGAAATGTCCATTCACACCAGTTGCGATGGAACTGCGTTGGGCGGCTATTCCAACGCTGTCTCACCACAAGACTAGGCAACATGTCTGGTCTCTGGTGTGGCTGGTTCCGGACTCTGCGTTGCACCAGTATCAGTGTGTCAACACTGCAGTGGTCTAGCTGGACCACACACCAGCCGCTGCATTGCAATGTGAAAAAGTGAACAAGCTGTTTTCCGGTGAATCTCTAGCTGCACTGAAAATTCAGTTAATAAAAAAAAAAAGTGTACACTCAGGTCCATAAATATTGGGACATCGACACAATTCTAACATTTTTGGCTCTATACACAACCACAATGGATTTGAAATGAAACGAACAAGATGTGCTTTAACTGCAGACTGTCAGCTTTAATTTGAGGGTATTTACATCCAAATCAGGTGAACGGTGTAGGAATTACAACAGTTTGCATATGTGCCTCCCACTTGTTATAGGACCAAAAGTAATGGGACAGAATAATAATTATAAATCAAACTTTCACTTTTTAATACTTGGTTGCAAATCCTTTGCAGTCAATTACAACCTGAAGTCTGGAACGCATAGACATCACCAGACAATGGGTTTCATCCCTGGTGATGCTCTGCCAGGCCTTTACTGCAACTGTCTTCAGTTCCTGCTTGTTCTTGGGGCATTTTCCCTTCAGTTTTGTCTTCAGCAAGTGAAATGCATGCTCAATCGGATTCAGGTCAGGTGATTGACTTGGCCATTGCATAACATTCCACTTCTTTCCCTTAAAAAACTCTTTGGTTGCTTTTGCAGTCTGCTTTGGGTCATTGTCCATCTGCACTGTGAAGCGTCCAATGAGTTCTGAAGCATTTGGCTGAATATGAGCAGATAATATTGCCCGAAACACTTCAGAATTCATCTGGCTGCTTTTGTCAGTAGTCACATCATCAATAAATAAAAGAGAACCAGTTCCCATTGGCAGCCATACATGCCCACGCCATGACACTACCACCACCATGCTTCACTGATGAGGTGGTATGCTTAGGATCATGAGCAGTTCCTTTCCTTCTCCATACTCTTCTCTTCCCATCACTCTGGTACAAGTTGATCTTGGTCTCATCTGTCCATAGGATGTTGTTCCAGAACTGTGAAGGCTTTTTTAGATGTCGTTTGGCAAACTCTAATCTGGCCTTCCTGTTTTTGAGGCTCACCAATGGTTTCCATCTTGTGGTGAACCCTCTGTATTCACTCTGGTGAAGTCTTCTCTTGATTGTTGACTTTGACACACATCCACCTACCTCCTGGAGAGTGTTTCTTGATCTGGCCAACTGTTGTGAAGGGTGTTTTCTTCACCAGGGAAAGAATTCTTTGGTCATCCACCACAGTTGTTTTCTGTGGTCTTCCGGGTCTGTGGGTGTTGCTGAGCTCACCGGTGCGTTCCTTCTTTTTAAGAATGTTCCAAACAGTTGTTTTGGCCACGCCTAATTTTTTTGCTATCTCTCTGATGGGTTTGTTTTGTTTTTTCTGCCTAATGATGGCTTGCTTCACTGATAGTGACAGCTCTTTGGATCTCATCTTGAGAGTTAACAGCAACAGATTCCAAATGCAAATAGCACACTTGAAATGAACTCTGGACCTTTTATCTGCTCATTGAAATTGGGATAATGAGGAAATAACACACACCTGGCCATGGAACAGCTGAGAAGCCAATTGTCCCATTACTTTTGGTCCCTTAACAAGTGGGAGGCACATATGCAAACTGTTGTAATTCCTACACCGTTCACCTGATTTGGACGTAAATACCCTCAAATTAAAGCTGACAGTCTGCAGTTAAAGCACATCTTGTTCGTTTTATTTCAAATCCATTGTGGTTGTGTATAGAGCCAAAAATGTTAGAATTGTGTCGATGTCCCGATATTTATGGGCCCGACTGTATATATTGACAGCCCCTATTGATCTTTAATGGCAGAGTTCCTCTCTAACCATTTTGCTGTCAGAGCCATTTTTGAACACATTAAAAATCATTTTGGGCCTAAAGATTATGTAAAACCCCCAAAACATATTTTCTAACGTAGTGGTTTAGGCAACACAATTTTCAGTAAAAAATACACTAAAGTTAATTTTCAGGCACAAAAACACAATAACTAATTTTTTGGTAAAATATAAAAGATGCGGTTGCTTTGTGTAAAAAGATACCCAACATGTCAAGCCTTAACATTGTGTGCACCCGTGAAATGGTGACAAAAATCAGTCCCCTTTCATTTCCATAGGCGATTCTTTACAAGCCCAGGTCATCAGTCATCGGTCATGGCAGTTTGGAGTTAACTGTGAATAATGGGCTTAGAATTAATGATCCAGCTTGTGCTGAGATGTGTAGTGCAATTGAAATTTTTTTTCTGCGTAGGTGCCCCAAATGTGTGCATTTATGTTTGTACGTGCAAGTACTGGATGTGGGGGTGGGCACCAAAATATTTGGGGTGGGATTTTAAATGCTTGAGCATAAATTTTTTTTTTTTTTTTTTTTTTTTTTTTTTTTACACTAAACTGCTTCCCCTATGTGATGCATTTTTAAGTGACAGGTTCTCTTTAATGAGACATCGATGGTCTAAAAGACCCCGATATCTCACCTGCCCCCTATAGGATCTAATGGAGTACACATCGTACAGTGACACCACGACCCAGAAATTCCGTTTTCCACATTGCTTCAGGGTCAGTAACAGGAAGGGAAAACTCAGTGAATGGATGTTTGCCAATTTCCTTCCCTGCTACCTGAGGGCATCCGCTTTGTCAGTCCCAGGTCCACTGCTGGCCAGTGGTGGCAGTAAAAGGGCTAAACCCTTGTCTATTTTTTGTTGTTTGCGTTCTGTTGGGGAAATTTTCCTTCTGGAAAAGACACTACAGCCAGTAAAAGAAAGCCTCTAAAGAGTGAATGATTGATTGACAGAGCAACAGGAAGGACATAGCGATGCTAGGAACTATTACCAACATCTAGCCCATTGGGCAAAACCCCCCCAAAAAATAGATACACTTTTCACGCTGGTTCCTGCTTTCACAGCTATGACAGCTGTGAGTGGAGATTGCAGAAAACACTTGGCGGCTTCAGCCAATGTCATCAAGGAGCTTCATGGTAACGCTTTGCTGCTGTCTATCAAGCTGTGGAGGCTGGATGGGGTGTGGGTAGCTAAATCTGACTATGGGACTACAAGCGCATCTTGTATAGTCATGGTGTCCTGTAGCTTCCAAGTCAGGAGAAGGGACACAAACTGACCACATTAGGACAGATCTACTTCCGTGCCTAGCATGGTCAGTTTGAAACAGCATCCAAGAGGAACTGGCAGGATGACCAGTTATTTAGCAAAAGCATAGCCAAAACAAACATAAATACAGTCTACATTTATTTTGTAACTACACAACACATATATGGACTTTGATTTTACTGGGCAACATACACTTTAAACTCACTGAGACAGTTGTCCACATTGGAAGATGTAACCTTACCCGTTTCTCTGGCGTGAATTGTAAAATGTTGTATTTACCATCACTTTCTGACAAACAATGATTAATTTGGCCATACATACACTTAAATTGATAAAAATTAAGTATCTTTTATTTATACTAAAAGGTGACATACCTTCCTTCGTCTTCTTTCTTCTTCATCCACATGCTTCTCTTTCTCAGACTTCTTTTTCTTTTTTTTCTTTTTTTCTTTGTGTCGCTCACGTTGTTCATAATCTGACCGATCTTCATAATAACTAGAATCATGTCCAGATCCTGACAGTTCAGTCACTTCACTACCTCCAACTTTAAGAACCAGTTTTAAAGGTTTTTCTGATGGTTTATCGACATAATCTGAACAAGGAGAAATACATTTAATTGTGGTGAAATCAAAAATTATCTTCTATATTTTTCTGATCGTAAATACTAGCTTACAGCAAAAGTTGCTAATTCTATCTATCTATATATATAAATATATATATCTATATCTTTCTATATATATTTTTTTTTTCTAAATGGAACTTAAGGTCATTTGCAATAAATCCCAAAAATAAACTCTTATTTGCTTCCTTTTGGTCTTTTAGATATACTATTGAAAGTGTTTTATCTGTTTGACAAATGTAAACATAGGATGTTTTTATACTCACCAAAATCCAAGTTCATTGAGGAGCACAGCATTGTAGATAGACCACTAGTTTGTTCAAACATAGTCTCTAATAAGGGTTAGGTAAGTACACCACAACACAACTAAAGACTAGGTAAACAACCTCAAACCACATAAAAAATGGCCAACATGGTGACCTACAAGACCTTATGATTGAAGTACATGGAAGATCGTGTTGTCAACTTAAAAACACAGATTCTTAAAAACAGAAAACTGCTCCAGTGGAATGTGCACAGACAGATGGAGGTGGATTCAGTTGCTTTGGTGAGCAGGCTTGAAATATTGTTGGACAGATCTATCTAGAAATAATTGCAGAATACAATTCAGAACCCTTACAGGGGAACATCTGCTACAACAAACAAGAAATCTAATTTTTTAATAGAAGCAACAAAATTCAGGTGGACCTAGTCCAGGGAAGGCAGGGCACTCTCTTTCAAATGGGCTGGACCTAGGTAAAGAGAAAGAAGCATAAAGTCCTCATTAAGAAGGAATAAAGGACAAATTAGGCAAAAAGGAGAGCCTAGGCCTAAAAGATAAGGATGGGGACCTTTTCAAAACAAGGAGGCCAACTTTGAGGCCTTCCTGGACAAAGTAACATCCAAGGTCCAACAAAAAAAAGCCACCTTTTTGAACAAGGTCAGATAGGGCTTAAACATTTTCTCTAAAACAAAAAGGGACTACACTGAAATCCAGTGGTTTGAGATGGGGACTTGACCGGTGGAGCAACATGAGTTGCCTCTTGGGCTATGGTGAGAATTGGAAGCAATTTGGCAACAGCCATTTAAAAAGAATAGCTATGGCTGACAACTGTCCATTGATGTGACGCATTGATCGACTTCCAGAACAATATCACACTAACTGGGATGGCATAAAAGTGGACTCCCTTTTTATTTATATCCATTGTTGTTTTTTTGTTATTTGGTGTTAGCTTTTCCCATCTCACTGCCCTTTTGTTATGTCATTTGTTATTAATTATGGCCTTGGATTTCTGTGGCTACTGATTGCTTATTTTCTGCCTCTTGGCCCAGCTCATCCCTTTGTAGTGAGTGGGAGAGCCTAACCTTGTAAATGAGCCCACTTTGGAGGAGGTGCAGTTTGTAACAAACTCCCTTTTCCAGCTTCTTGTTGCCTGACAGGTTACCATTGAAAATGGGGACACCAGCCAAATCATTTACCAGCCTTACATATGCTATGCAGATCCTGTAACCCTGTGAGAGGCACATTAGAATTGTATAATATTATATAGGGGCATGGTTGCTTTTACATTGATTTTGTGTACAAAGCGGTTTGTTGTTGCTTCCTGTCTGCACACACAGTTGCGGGGTGGTTGTCGTTCAACTCCATTCACCTGGAGGTATACTTCCAGCTGCGGCAACAACATATGTATACCCCCAACTGTTTCTGCAGCTAAAGGGGGAGTAGTTGGGGGTGGTAAAAGCAGCTCAATTGCGTGCTTTTACCATCCTCCAACCTCACAGGTGAACAGGCCCTTAGTTCACATCTGTGTGCCTGTGTGTAATGCAGCCCACTCATTTCAATAGGCTGCCTTACCTGCACAAATCGAGGGAAAGTCGTCCCTAAACTTAGTTTTAAATTGCACGACACCCAAAACACCCCACGTTTGCCAATGTATGGGGTACCCCTAAAGAGGAGAACATTTGTCTGCGTGTCAGGAATCAGCGCAATTTTGCGTGTGTTCCATGACACACAGTACACACAGTAACGTGAACCAAGCCTTGGACAGGGGTGCCTAATAAGGGGTTCCAGCAGCTCTTCAGATTGGGGAAAAATGCAGATTTTGGGATCCTTCATGCCACCCTCGCAGAGGCCCATATAGCACAAGCAGCTTTTAGACATGCAAGCTGTCCAACGCAGGGTGTTACATTTAGCTCATTAGAAGAAAAACTTAGCTCAGTGGCTGACTGGAGAGACTACCAGGATTGAAATATCTAGTTTGTATCTACCGGCAGTTGTCTGATTGAAGACAATTCAAGCAAAACAACTTTTGAAACAACAGAGTAAAGATGTCCTTTGGACAATGAAATAAACTAAAGCTTGGTAGCAGATGCTGAATATAGCCACCAGATTGAATTTACAAGCCCGTTTCTAATCTCCCCATAGGTGGCAATTTACCCAGTGGTCTATCCATAATGCTGTATCCCTCAGTGAAAGACAGAGGAAGAAATACTGGTTGATCCTGTCAAAAATCTAGTAAGCTGATCATTTTCTGTTCTCTTTGCCTGTGCTGTAGTTAGCATTGTTTGAAGTTCTTTGTGTTGAATGCTAAACAACAACCCATCCATCCCCATTTTAAGAATATTAGGAGAGGAGATGTTCAGTAGTTTTAATACACTTCTTCTCTAGAGTGCTCCTCCTCCAGATACACCATGGTAAGAGTTGTTACCTTAGAGCAAGAAGTGTGTTACCAGCAGGATCACCAAGTTAAAATAAATTTAAAAAATGCCTGAATAAATTCCCTGTTAGTCCTGTTGCCTGGTATTTTAGGAATCTTCCAAGACAGCAACTTCAGAGACAACTGGTTATAAACTTAATAGGAAACTCAAGACAGATTTAAATCCCCTCATTTGAGATTAAAAGTAGATAACCTCCACCAACGCAAAAGGCAAAAATAAAAAGAATTGGACCTTCATCCAAGGGTGGGAGCTAAGAAAGCTGTCATGAAGGGATGAAATTCCAATTTCAGACAACGCACCAACTCGCAGAGAACGATTTATTTACCAAGTGAGAAGAAACATTCTACTTTCCTATATGCTGTCTAAATAAACAGATCTCTGAACAAGACCCACTTTGTTGGCAAAAAGCATGGATGCTGTTAGAGCCTCTACTTTCTTTCAGTTTCTTGGTGGTCTGGTAAGAAAAAAAAAGCCTTTTGAGAAGGAGCTTGACATTCTAGACAATACCTGTCTCTTAACAGCTATAATACAAGTGAGCTTTCAATTGATGATGGGAAAGCCTCTCACCCAAAGCTGACCCAAGCGTCATTGGCTGTTTTTGGTAGATTCTGTATAAATGAACAGGCCCACTATAGGCCTTGCCTAAGGCCAATTTCTTGTTTGTGTCTTGGCTTTTGGATCCCTGTTTATGCTGCAACTGGCATGTGCGAAAATAAAATTTCTGGTTCCGTATTCTCTATCTGTTTAGCAGATCTGAATAAGAGAGTCTAGTCGTGTACCGAAGAGTAGGTTGCCTTCAAAGGGCTTGTTTTTGGGCACATGGGCCCGTTCCATGACTTTAGCCAGATGTCTCTTCTAGCTGAATTAAGCAAAGCAAGTAAAGTTGGCTGAAGCCTAACAGACACTGCTATAGCATCTGCAAAAGATGAAACCGCCTTAGATACCAACTGTAATTATTCCATTACTTACTTTGCTTGATTTTCCTGGACAAAATGTCCAATTATGGTTCATTTAAGCATCCAAATTTCTTGCAACAAATGGTGTTGCTAGAGCTATGGATAAGAAGGGTTTCTTCTTTGTTGTATATCTGGTCCTTGATAGTGCCCAAGTACTCAAAAGGACAAGACAACATTCTCAGATACTTGTAAAAATCCAGCATATAAATTAGAGCACAAGATTTTTTTCTTAATAATCCTTAATAAAAGGAACCCTTCTCTTCCATGACCTGATATGAATTTATTTTCTTATCGTTTTCATTCCCTCAAGATTTTACTTAAAGTAATTGAAGGTAAATACCCTCTTTTGTTGCTCTTGTAATCCTCGGTACATCCTATCTACTTCCAAGCGATGCCTACAGGTTTTGTTCTCCCCTGTCTGGAATTGGTCTATCTGCCCTTCCTACCATGAATATCTTGAATTGAGGGCTTCCTCCTCTTGTAATGAGGATGGAGAAACAACACTGTTACATTGCCTTGCAGACAAAACCAAACCATAGCTAGTGGGACAGACAAAGGTTTAAAGTCATGTAAGACTACTCTAAAGGATTGGAATGTTGAACAGTCCTTAAAGAGCCCTTAAACACCTTCAGCAACTAGGATGTTTCCACTACTGATTTCTGCATGCATGTGGGACCTAAGCACAGAGGTCGGGTAGGAGCAGGTCAGATGATTTGTTAGACTTGTGTCCTTTTCCTGCTTGCAGGTCTTGTTCACCCCTACAAATTTGCTGAGCTACATCCTGCAGGGTGTTATCAATTCCTGCCCTTTGTCTGAGACTGCCATTTTTTGCCAGTGCTGGTGCAGGCAGAAGTCATAATACATCCTGTCTGGAAATGATGCAATGCTATGGTGCTCTCCTGGATGTAAGGAAACGCAAACCAAACTGAGGGACTGTTTGTTTCTCTTGTAGAGGGTAGAAGCAATCATCTCTCAAGTTGTTGTCCTGGAAGATTATAAAGAGAAACTAATGAAGCCATAACATCCAAGCGCTGGTAAACTGCAAAACATTATATTTTTGATCTTGTGTTTAGATACATTTTAACATACAGCCTGAGGGCCCATTCACACTAGAATGTGAAGTGGGCTTCCCGTACCACATTCAGAATGCACTGCTGTTGCGATCTGC